ATTAAATTCAGCTAAAAAATATACAAAGCCTACCTGCAGCGTCGACCAACCACACACCCAGGTAGCAATCGTCAGATCACAGCATGAAGTGTGGCCCTTTATAAAAACACCACACAAACACTGACTTACTATAATCAAATTAAAAGAGTTTTTCAAAAACAAACACACAAACCTGATCACAAACAGTGGAACGCGTGGGCCAACACACCTGGTCGAACACCGGAGATTGACAAATTGGCCACCAGCCTGACAGCCTCCCTTTTATGGGAGCTCACAATGTGGAGGAAGCGACCCCTGGTGGTTCCACTTGTTACACTTCACAACTCTGTAAAATTGTCATGAAAGTTGTCTTCAGTTAAAGAATTGTAGGTCTTTAATTTCATCCTAATTTAGAAGTGGAGGTAAAAACAAATTTTGTTTGATTGTATGAGTTCAAATAACACATAGGCTATAGGCTAACATTTTTAAATTTGACCTACAGTTTACAACAAAACTTAAATGTGAAAAAGTTGCAGCTGTTTCGTCACACCAGAACACAAATTGCCAATGTTCCTTTTTTTTTAATTCATTTGTGTCCAACAGAATAAAGAGAAGACTTGTGATTATTCTGTCACTAATCACCTCATCCATCTGAGCCGAGCAGCAATCATCTGCTGCTGACAGGCACAGCAGATAACAAATGGCTCGGTTCGGTTCGGTGTGTGGGCTCAGCTGGCACGAGCCGGCGCGCCGTTTCTCCGGATGGCAGCCATATAAGCAGCCGGAGCTCCTGTCCCCACCGGAGACAAACCACCCATTTATGGACACACCGGAACTCCTGAGCCATCACGGAGCTCGTGTTTCCTTCAGGAGCGAGCGCTGAAAAAGATGCGCGACGATGTTCGCGATCAAATAAAGCCCTTAAGTTTCATCAGTTTGTGTTTTCTCAAATGTTGTCGCAGAATTATTCGGTTTTTTTTATCCATGTTTCGTCACGGCAACCTCCGCTGCTCCTATTTCTGGAGTTCCCTCTTCTTCTTTTTTTTAATTCTAAGTCCATGTTTGGTCAATGACGTCAGGGGACACCCAGAAAATCCCTTTATAAACATAGCGCGCGTTCCTGGAGCTGTTTAACAGAAGAGGCGGAAAACACGGAGGTTAATAACTGACACGATGAGGAATTAAAAAAATCAATCCGACAGCTTCTCTGGAAGCCATTAGTTAGAAACCTGAAACCAGTTTATATCCACCTGCAGAATGACCGCTGAGGTTTCTGTTGTGGACAGCATCACTAAGGATGTGTTCACTGGGGAGGGGGGGCTGACTTCAAGGGTTGTGTTTAAGGAGGAACCTGTTGGAGAGGAGGAACAAGAAAGGAGAGTAAATGAAGATGGAGGCGGTAAGATCTCGGTTTGTGGAAACACTTCAGCTCTGACTTGATCACATGAGATCATTAAACAAAGGTCGGAGAACATCCCATAATGTTAACCTTTTTTTTTTTTGCTCTTTTCCCTGCAGGTGATTTCCTGTTTGACGCGAGGAGCTCCCCTGAGCTCTGCATCCAAGGAGACCTTTACGCGGAAACTTTACGCACGCAGCCGGTGGTGTTTACCGGCAAGTTCTCGGTGGACTCCAGGGTTGCAGGGGGTCCGTGGACATCTAGTGACGTCATCAACGTGGTCAGCGCTGATATCGGAACCTTGGTGCCGGCCGCGGTGTCCGGACCGCCTGAAGCCTCTGAGATTTACGCAGCAGGAGGAGGAGAGTGCAGCAGCATGGCGCACGGACCGCCCGACATCAGCCACATGTACGCGCCCAGTCACCCACACCCGTCCTACTCCTGCAGCGGGGACATGTACCAGGACCAGTCTGCGTCAGCGGGGTACCTGGGACCCTCCACCTGCGCCGCGTCCTACCACCAGCCCTACAGCTCCGCGCAGAAACCGCCTGTAGAAGGCGCCGCGCTGCTCTCCATCATGCCGGAGTACGGCGGCTACTACCAGCAAAGCTGCCAGAGGGAGCTCCAAGGCGGGTTCCCCGAGAGAAAACCCCTCCCGTACCCCCTGGACCCCCTCAGGGTCCCCCCACCCCTCACACCCCTGAACACCATCAGGAACTTTACGCTCGCGGCGCCATCAGCAGAAGGTCCGATGGCCGCCGCGTTCCCGAGCCACCAGAACCTCCCGCTCAGGCCCATCCTGAGGCCCAGGAAGTACCCGAACCGGCCCAGCAAGACGCCGGTCCACCAGAGGCCGTACCCGTGCCCCGCGGAGAGCTGCGACCGCAGGTTCTCCCGCTCGGACGAGCTGAGCCGGCACCTGCGCATCCACACGGGCCACAAGCCGTTCCAGTGCCGCATCTGCATGCGCAACTTCAGCCGCAGCGACCACCTGACCACGCACATCCGCACGCACACCGGCGAGAAGCCGTTCTCCTGCGACCAGTGCGGGAGGAAGTTCGCGCGCAGCGACGAGAGGAGGAGGCACCTGAAGATCCACCTGAGACAGAAGGACAGAAAAGCGTCTGCGTCCTAATCCACACACACACACACACACACACACACACACCTCCCACCTTAACTCCCCCCATCCATTCTCTCCCCTTCTGTCCTNCACACACACACACACACACACACACACACACACACACACACACACACACACACACATGCTGCTGAATTTAAACTGAGGCCTGAACATTAACCCTCCCTGAATCTGAATCATGTCAAAAAGCCACGTGTTGAACCAGGAAACAGTCTGATTCCTTAGAAACCAGAAGAATCTGGTGTTAAATTATAGCAAGAAGAAGTCTTCAGTTGTAGATTCTGTGTTCATGTTTAGTCCCTCCTCACATAGAACCTGGAGGGTCATTGAGGGGTCTTGGCGGGGGTCTTCAGTTCCACTGTGGTTCTGTGGTTGGTGGCAGCAGATCTGTGAGGTGGGCCCACTGGCACCCGTGCTTCATACTTAACACAAGCTGATCAGCTGGACGTTCATGAACTGATCGTTTTCTGAGAGTTTCAGTAAATCCATCAAGTCATTCAAGATATTTTGCTAACAGACAGATCACAAGCCTCAAATGTGAACAGATCAGGTTCTGGTCATTGTCCAATGTAAACGGGGGGTTTCAGTACAAGTTTACATCGACTCACTTCAGTGTTCTTCAGGCGTGACGTCATGGTTCCACATCCTCAGGTATTTAAAAGCAGCAAGGATGAGACCAAAACTTGAATTTGGTGATGCAGGAAGCTGCTGCTTGGCTTCTCAGGCCAGCTCATTCAGACAGGAAAAGGCTCCTCGGCGACTTTTGGGTAAAATCCCAACTTCTGAATGTTCCTCAGGTTTACGTTAAATCTTATGTGATTTAAAACAAATCAGGAAGGTGTGAAGAATGTTGATTGCAAATGTGATGTATTGATATTAGGATAAGAAATACTCATTTTCAAAGGAGTATTTCTGGTTTTCAGAACTTTGACTATTTGGACTAAAGAAAAACTTGAAGGTACTTATTGTAAAACATGAAATCAACAAGGTTGTGTACTATTTCAGTTGTTGCTGTTTGAATGTATGAACTACTGATGTCAAATTCAGAAATGCGGGCACACGCTCAATGTAAACAAAGAACTTTGCTCAGTTTGCTAAAGACCAGTTGAAAGCTCGAGCCATTTGATGCCCTTCAGTTTGGAGTCTGTGGAGGTCAACAAATATGGTGGAACTGGACAAACCCAGAATGACTTTTTTTAGATTGGTACGTTTACATTTTAACCAAACTTATCTTTTCATCTGCATACTTTGCTCAGTAAATCCGCACGCTACAATATAGTGAGGCCCTGGAATTTACGAAGAGCGTCTGCAAATAACACAAATATTAAAAACGGTCTAAATGCAGATTTTTAGAACACAAAAGCAACACACTGTATAAAATTAAATTAACATTTATGCTACAAAATTAGTAAATATTACTCAGCTTTAAAAGTCATGATAAAGCACACACACACAGAAAGTACTTTTGTATTTATTGTATTTTCAGTTTCCACAAAATTGCAGGGATCATTGCAAACAATTTGTGGGTTCAATAAAAATCTCTGAAAGCTTCACTGGACATGAAAAATGTCTGACTTCTCCATTCCAAGCAGCTTTTTTAAGGATGTCCTTCTTGACTCGTTTTCAGTCACATCAACTTTTTTTCATTGATAAATGAACCCTGGTGGTTAGCAGCCAGTCACAAATTTCGCTTTCAAAATTTTTGTTTAAGGACACGTTACTGATTTGAGAAAAAAAATATGCGCAGATTTAGTTAGTTTATAAAATTGTTGGCAGTTTTTCATAAATTTGCAATAAGTACCTTTAAAATCCAGATTTTGTTGCTTCTTTGGACAGATTTGGCCCTCGATTGTAACTCTGTCATAAAACATTGACTAAAAAGAAGTATCAGTAAATACTGGATAGAAACTTCATTTTAGAGAAAATTTGATTTAAAGTCAGGAGTTTGGGGCAGATTAACATTTAGTTTCAGGTAGATCCAGCAAAACTGAAGCCTCGTTAAAAAAATAAATAAAAAAACAAACAACCCAGATTGCAAATGTCCACTTCGGTCTCATAATGTTGGTGAGATTGTAGCCAGATAATCTGAAAGTTTTATTTTTTGGATTTTTTTACCTCATTAATGTGATTTAAAAAAAGCTACAGAAAATTTGTTGTGTTTTGAAATTTTTATGCAAACAAGACAAACATTAAAGCCACTGATGCTTCTTCCAAATAAATGCTGACTTGTTCAGAACCTGTTGTTTTATTTTTTATTTTTTCAGAGAATTGTCACTGATGCAACAAATTCATCCAAGTTCCTTCTTTAAAATCATACCAGAAAGTAGGTCTGCCTAAAACCGAATCAACACCAGGAAGATGCCAAAGTAAACAAACTGGAAATTATCAATAAAAATTTTAATGTGTGCTCAAAAAAAGCTACATTTTAAACCAATGTATCAAAAATAAACAGGTGAACTTAATGCAGCACAATAAGAGAGTTTAGATGTTTAAAATAGGACAAATATGAACAGTTCATATTTTACCTGTTGTAGACAAGTGGGTCTGTGCAGCCACTGAGTGGGAGGTTCCAAGTTGTGGGCGGAGTTTGGGAAAACCATGATTGGTCAGATTGACTTGTGGTAGAAATAAAAAATTGTTAGCCATGATTTACTTACAGGAAGTATTGACTGCCGTTGGTTTTTAATTTTATTTAGAAAAATTAGTGTAAACATGTAAATATAATTTATTAACTTCATATTACTTTCCTGTCTGATTTCATCACTGTTACTCATATTCACAATAATCATTTTTTCCAGGCAGTTTAGGGCTGTTTTGACTGAGCCGAACTGTTACATGTCTTATGTCATTCAAATGACATGCAGCCAGCACCTCATTGTCCTGAGTCATGACGAATATTAGTATTCATACAATCAGTCGTTTTTTTTTTGACTGAGTCAAATTGTTACATCTCCCTCCACCTGCCCTACGTTCAGCCAACCGGATCGTTGTGGCTTCTTCTATCCCCACCCAAAATAATCAACCGGCCCAATCACGTCTTTACCAAATGACTCCAACATCCAGGAACCCCCAAGTGACCGCAGAGACCCCCTTCCTGTTGTGATAGCTCTTTGGAAAACCTCAATTAGAAGAAAATGAGCTTAATACAAGAATAAATTAGTCCTTCTATGAAAGTGTTAATGACCCAGAGACTAGAAAGCTCAGAGATATCAGGATGACTGCTCCTGAGAACAAGGATGCTGTTTAAAAAGTAAAGTTACTCTCTTCTTTAATTCTTACTCAATTCATTGGTAGCTCAGATATTTAAGCCTCTTCAGAGCAGCTGTGTTCAAACTGATAGTCTTACTTCAATGCTCGGTCCTGATTTTCTGCTAGTCTCAGATGTTTGTAGCACAATCATTCATGATAATTTCAACATGACTGCATCAGGCATGGGAAGCAACCTGCAAGTGCAGAAGAAGATGCGACATCACACTCAGCACTTTGTGTTTCCAGATAAGGCTGTTAACAAGCAATCAAGATGACAAAATTATTATCTGCTAGTTTCATCCAGTGTTTACATTTCATCCTGCCACTTCAGCCCTACTCTGATGCAGAAATGCACTCCTGGGTGAAAACAGAGTGAAACAAACTCAAGTACAGATCCCATCGTATCAAAACAAGCTATCATTTTGGTTTAGAAGCATCAAAAACAAATTATTATTATTATTATTAACAAATTATGTCAGCTGGTTCCACTCAACTGAGCTGAGTTTATGTAATGCTTTTACTTTACAATTCAATTGTATGTGTTTATGTGACAAGGCAGGAAATCTTTTATATAAACATTTGTATTTGTACCTGCAAATATAAAAACAGGAACCAGATCCAATGGCTCTTAAATATCGTCACTATCAGTTGAGATCAAATATTAATTTGAAATAATAGCTAAAAATAAAAAGACAGCAACATTTATTATTTACTGGTTTTCTCACAAAGGCAGCCAAGTTGAATGTCAGTCAGGTGGAACTCTGACCCTTGGTTTACACGATTCATCAGTTCTGACCGGAATGATGAACTAATGGCTGCAAACCTCCAAGAAAAAAGTAGATTTTCACTATCTTCAAACAGCCAGAGTCTCCAAAAATTCACAGGGGTTCATGTTTTTTTCCCTTTTTTAATGAAGAAGAACAGAAGCTAGCCATAGCCTTGCAGCTGCATGACTTCAGCTGGAATCGTCTAAAATGAAAATGTTCGTGTGAAAGTTGGCAAAATATCTTTCATGTTAACCAAGTTGACATTTTGGTTATTTGAAAAAAAAAGCAGTAATTATTTTTGGTCTTAGATGGATTCACTCATTCTCTCATTATCTCATTATCTAATTAGCTCATTAGCTCATCATTCCAGTCAGGATTAAACTCTACATCTTCCAAAGGTTATTCAAAGCGTTATCTAATTGTTTTAAAACTCTTCACAGGCCTTGTCAAGTTGTCTGAATTATCTCTTTAAAATCTGCAAAGTGAGACTATAAAGTGAAAACTGAACCTCCAGACACAAAGTAAAATGTTAGATTTTTAGCAGATGAACAATTTTCTTTTAGTTTAGGAAAAGATCACTGGTCAGAACTGTGGAACATCTGCCATGCTTGTAAAATAAGATCTAAATAAACAAGATCCTGTCTAAAGATCCTGACTTAGCAGGTCTAAATTATGAATTAGCAACTCAAACTTCACGTTAAAATGACTCACCATCTCAGACATTTTCCTTAGTATCTCAAAACTATGACAAATTAGCATCTCATAGAACCAATTTACCTTTACATATTTACAACTTAGCTTTTAAAATATCTTTGAAACTTGACTATGACTATTGATTTAATGTGTTGTAGTATCTTTAAATCATGACTTTGCACTTCAAACTTGTCTTGGCATCTTAAAACTGACTTAATGTCTCAAAGTTGACTCAGTGTTTAGTATTTACTCAGTGAGAATTTAGAGGATGTTTTTTCTTTGCATCGGTCACAAAAATGGGCTTCAATA